GCCTACTCAAGAACACCAAGGGCTCATCTGGGTGGCCCATGGCCACCTCTGCCACCCCATCCTGGCTCTCCAGCCTCTCTGGCTCCCTGGCACAGCTGGGCTTTCCCACCTGGAATCTGAAAAGGAAAAGCAGGGGAAGTCACAGCCCTCTGCTGAACTGTCTAACCAGACCTAATAAATCAATAAGCCAAGCCAACCAGCCGCCTGCAGAGTACTTACTTCAGCCGTGAATTGATTGCGCACTTTCGCCAGAACTACGGCTCATCCCCGCCGCCCACAGAGGCTGGGTGCCAGCGGGAGCTGCCGGGCAGGGGCCGCCCTGCCACCTTGCCAGGGAGGCGAGGGCTCCAGGCAGCCCTGGTCCTCAGGTTACAGGAAACAGGCCCAGAGTGGGGCACAGACAGGTGGGCTGGAACCCCGCTCACCCTGCCCTGGGTCACCCAGCACCAGCACCGCACCGCCCTCCTAATTTGAATGAAGCTGAAAAACTGAGCCTCCTTCCTGCCCCTCTGGCCCATCCCGAGTACGACTCGCCCTACTTCTGTGTCTCAGTCCCTCCTATGAGAAAAATTACCTCCACCCCTGCCTGAGGTTTAAGGTGCAGGCCCTGGCGGGCACCATCCCTGACCCTGCAGCCCACCCAGGCATCAGGACCCCCGTGATGAAGTGGAAGGCGGGCCCTTGACCGGACTCCTAAAGGTGAGGGACTCCATCCAAGGAGGTTAGAAAAGGGGCCACAGCCTCCAAAAGGGCTGGGCATCTGGTTCCCACCTCCAAACTGCTAATCTGGAGGGTCTGCGGGAGGGAGGGTCCTAAACCAACCAGGCCATTGCATCCCCAGTGCAGCAGAGGTCACCGCAATGACCAACAGCCCAAATCCTGGGCACAGAGCTGAGAAATGGGAGCAGGAACTCGACACTTGTCCCCCAGCTTCTGCAACAGCCATCATGTATCAGACAGTTTCCAGAACATTCCTGGTTTAAAACAGCCTGCCCCAAGTGAGGGAGGGTCAGAGATCATGGGTATCAGAACCACAGGCCCTGCACGTGCCCCTGCCTGGCTCCCACCGCCAGCCTTGAA